TCTTTGTTGCACTCTAATTACAAAAAAGAGCCCATGCTGTTGAATGCTGAACAGTGTAGTGTGGCATGAGGCTGAAGTTGGTTCCTTAGTCCTTGGTTCCTTATTCCCAGCTCCCAGTTGCTTTTTCAAAGTTAATTGATACCCAATAAAAGCTTGTTATTCATTAATTACACAGTCTAAGTTTAGAGAGAATTTCATTAGCTATGTATATTTACTAATTAACAGGGATCCAGGTTTTCTCTGATAAAGATCCCCAATTTTCGGATTTAAAAAAATAACCCAAAATCCACATTTTTCCATGACTAAAATGAAACACCACTAATATATAGGTATGTATATAGTGGTGTTTCATTTTAATCATGGGAAAATGTGGATTTTGGGTTACTTTTTTAAATATGAAAATTGAGGATTTTTTTTTCCAGAGAAAACCAGGATCCCTGCTAATTAATATGTAAAATAATATCCTGAATCAAGTACAGAGCCCTAAATGAGGATTAGATAAGGATGGGGGATTATGGGGCAAAACACTTCGTGGGCCACCCCAGACTTCATGTCAGTGCCACCAGGGGACTGTCCTAAAGAAGCCTGAGCGCAGTCCGACCCAGCCCAAAGCGTGGTTTGGCTATGTCAGGCTGGTAACTGACAGCCCCTCCCCACTCCATGCCCACTGTACTAATTATATGGACTTGAATAAGGAACTGGCTTTTGGATTTGGGATTATGGCTGGAAATCCTTTTTGGGCCACCCCATACCATGTCTCTGTGCCACTGAGGCACTCTTCTGAACATCCCTGCGTGGCCCAAAGCATGATTTGTGTATGCCAGGCTGCCAGCTGACAGACTCCCCTGGCCACTGTACTAAGTAAAAGGGCTCAAATAAGGAACTCACTTTTGGGATGGGGTTATGGCTGAAAATCCTTTTTGGGCCGCCCTGCACACCATGCTTCACCATGCCGGAGATCCCTAACCAGAGTCACGCCCGGCCCAACGTGTGGCTTCATTGTGCCAGGCTACCAGTTGATAGCCCCCCATTTCCACTGTACTAAGTATATAGGTTGGGTTAAGGAACTGGCTTTTGGGCTGGGATTACAGACACAAATCCTTTTTGAGCCACCCCACATATACCTCTGTCACTAGAGGACTCTCCCAGACGTCCGTGACCAGGGTCTTGCCTGGCCTAAAGCATGATTTGAGCATGTCACACTGCCAATTGACAACAGCCCCCCTGCCCACTGTGCCACTGGGGGACTGTCCCAGACATGTCTAATGAGCAGGGATCCTGGTTTTCTCTGCTTTAAAAAAAATCCCCAATTTTGGTTAAAAAAAGTAAACCCAAATCCACATTTTTCCATGATTTAAGTAACATACCATTAATATATATACAGGGTCTTCATGAAGTCCTTGTGCACTTTTAAACTTTAATAATTTAGCCTATGCATAAGGACTTCATGAAGACCCTGTATATATGGACCACTAATATATATTTTATATATATATAAAAAAAAAAATGGTATTTCACTTAAACCATGGAAAAATGTGGATTTGGGTTTATATGGACCAGTCCACACCATGCCTCTGTGCCACTGCAGGACTCTCCTGGACATCCCTGACCAGAGTCTTGCCTGATCCAAAGCAGAATTTGTGCGTGCCAGGCATCCAGCTAACAGCCCTCCATGCACACCGTACTGAGTAAATGGGTTTGAATAAGGAACTGGCTTTTGGGCTGGAATTACAGCTAGAAATCCTTCTTGGGCCACCCCACACCATGCCTCTGTGGCACTGGGGGACTCTCCCAGAAATCTCTGGCCATGGTTTTGCCCGGCCCAAAGTGTGATTTGTACATGCCAGGCTGCCAACTGATAGCCCCCCATGCCCACTGTACTAACTATATTGGCTCAAATAAGGAACTGGCTTTTGGACTTGGGTTTATGGCTGGAAATCCTTTTTGGGCCACCCCACACCATGCCTCTGTGGAATCTCTCCCAGAGATTCCTGACTAGAGTCTTGCGCAGCTCAATGCAAGGTTTGGTTGTGACAAGCTGCCAACTGATAGCCCCCCATACCCACTGTATTAAGTATATAGGCTAGAATAAGGAATGTGATTTTGGGCTGGGATGACAGGTAGAAATACATGTTGGGTCACCTTGCTCTGTGCCACCAGGGTCTCTTCCAGGGCCAGATTTTTCCAAATCTGTAAACCTGGGGGACATCATTCATCACTAACTGTGGTGTCCTGCCTGATAAAAACATCTTTCAATTATATCTGGGTAGTGTGGTGCATTTTTTGGTTGGCAATTAGGAAAACAAATGATAAAGCAGGGAAGGGGGAGAGAAGCAGGGGGAAAAAAAGCCAAAGGTGAGTAAGGGAAGACTCTATAGTGGTGGTAATTCAAGGTAGAAAAGAGGCTGTCTGTGAAGAAGGAAAATGGTGGAAATTAAGAAGACAAAGGGTAGAAAAGGAGGGGAGGGGGAGGAAAATGAAAAGTGTAAAAGGTCAGGTAAAACCTTTTACACTTTTCTTTTCCCTCGTCCTTTTTCTCCTTTACTCACTTTGGCATTTTTTCCCCCTTGCTTCCCCTCCTCCTCCTTTCCCTGTTTTACCTTTTGTTTTCCTTATTTCTACCTAATTACATTCTTACTGACATCCTTGTCACACTTTTAGCTTCTCTTATTCCTTGTAGTCTCAGAGCATCAGAGACTTCCTATGCTTGAAGAAGGGTGTGAATACATTAAGTAAACTGAAATAAAACTATATGCATACCTATATATAAAATTACCAAACCGTACCTTCTCAAATGACACTCGCTGGCTTTTCAGAGATGGTAGTATTTTGTTCCCTTGCCCCCTTAATCCCTTTCTTGTATCTTGCATTTAGGTCTTCTGTATTTAAGTAGATGGCATAGTGCTAGTTAAAACATGTTACCAGTCCCGATTAGTTCAACAGAAAACATGAGGCATGCAAATTTATCAGTTCACTAAAACAAAGGTTTTGTCATTGTAGGTACAAAGTAGTTGCGATAACACACATTATTAGTGAGCATTTTGTATATTTCTACAAACCTGGTGGGACTGAGAGCTGGTGTTACTATGATAGACTTTCAGAATTAGAAAAGGTAGGATGTGGACATACCCCAGCAACTGAAGAAGAGTTCTCCAAAGCTCTTCAGAAGGAAAGTGTACCAAGCCACATTGCTGCTGTATGAATGTCTTAGGAACAATAAGGACATCTGCAAGGATACACAAAGACACTTAAATACATACCAAAGTCTCACTCTCAGGGAATTAAGAACATTGTTCTGGTGCTAATGCAGCTCAGGTTGTGTTTGCCTGCTACCATTACCTACTGTAGAAGGTACTACCTGTGATTGTTAATGCTAAGTGCTGGATGGTGGTTAAATAACCTGGCAACCTCTAGGGTGCCAATGGCTTTGTGCAGAAGAGCACCTTAGAGGGGGATATTAGACTTATCCCTCATGCAGTTAATGCTTCCAAAACATTGTGGCACCAAAATCCACTCCATGGTAGGGTTGATTAGGCTCTTCAACCCAGGTCAGGGTGGCCATAGGTCAAACCCAGGTCGGTGTTTGATGAAAAACACAGGTGTGGGCAAAAGGAAAAGATTCCAGACACTCCCTGGATGTTTTCAATGAACTCTTCAGATTAAAAGTGCTTTTGAATAAAGTGCTCTCTAGTAGGTCTACATGATACTATGATCTGAGCCTTCAAGAGGCTGAGAAGCAAGTAAACACAGCTGAAAAAAAAATCCCAGAGCCTACCACTGATGCAGGGTAGGACCTACAAGATCTAAGGTTCCATGGCAACCTAAAGAGGACAAGCAGAAACCCCTGGCAGGACAGAAAAGAGATGGATACCCGTAATGGCATGGTGGAGTGACCTAGAGACCCTAGACAGAGCAACGGAGACCCCTGGTGGTCTGGAGGTGCAGCAGAGACCCCCCCAACCCCTGGCAGAGTGGTAGAGACCCTCCAGCGGCATGGAGCAGCAGAGATACCCTGGCACCATGGGGAGCAGTGGAGCCCCCCAGCAGTGTGGAGGAGTGGCAAAGACCCCCAGTGGAGCAGTGGAGACCCTGGTGGAGTGACAGACAACCTCTGGAGGAGTGGCAGAGACCCCTAGCAGAGCTTAGGAGATCCCTGGAGGTGGCATCCACAGTAGCACTTCCTAGCATTGAACCCTGGCAATGCTTTCCAGCATCAAGTCATAGTGACTCCTGTGTGGCCCTCACTAGCCAGTCCTTGCTATTTTGGCTGTCATAGATAGTAGAAGCCCAGGAGAAGGGCAGCAACCTTTGCAGAGAGGACACAGACCAATGGCATGAAGTTGCAGCAAAGTAAATTTAGATTGGATATGCAGAAAAACTTCTTCACTGTGACAGTAGTGAGGCAATGAATGGATGCCCAGAGGAGTTAAGGACTCTCCATCACTGGAGAAGAGGTTGGACAGCTGTTGGTCAGGGATGATTTAAGTATACACATGCCTACATGTGTCAGGGTGTTTTTAAGCCTTCTTCAGAGGCACTGAGTGCTGCTACAGCTAAGGCTGGGGACTTGAACTGGAGTGTGCTGAGCCTTCTGCTAGGAGCACAGTCAGAGGGTCCTGGCTGGAGGGTCTTGCCTTTTGTTCAGGGTCAGATGGATCACTATATTTGGGGTCAGGAAGGAATTTTACACTATGGTCAGATTGGCATATGGACTTGGGGGGGGGGTTCCCTTTCTTTGTAGTGGGGGTGTGGCCCTCTACCTGGGAATCTTTGGAGCATATATTGATAACATTTAATAAAAGCAGGACAGTGGCTGCCATAGTTCCCCTGATTTACTTGTAGCAGGTTCACGTGTTAGGTCTATGTTGTATGGTTAGATGGGATGGTTTGGATAGGGAGGATCCTGCTTCAGGCAGGGAGGTTGGACTAGGTGACCTCTGGGGGTCCCTTCCAGCTCTAGCTCTCTATGATTCTATAATTCTATAAGCCCGACAGCAGAGAGGAACAGAGCCTCTGGGGTGGTCCTCCCTACCCAGAACTTACTACTAAGCCAGTGCAGGTGGTAGTGTCCTTGAGTCAGACTCCTTAAGTGGCTGGGCTAAGAGGTAGCCCTCCAGGTTGGTTTGCCACTGACTATGACTGTGATCAGTTTAGAGCTACAGTTAAAGGTTAATAGTTAAGGTTTTGCTTAGGGAGAACCATTGTTCCCCTTTTAACCTGTA